GAAAGCAGAGGCGCAATGCTTTCAAGCAGAATTACTTTTAAAAGTGGAAAGGTGGCCTGAGGCACGAAAAATATTAGTTTCTCTTTATGTTGCAAACAACTTGCCCCAAAGTCTTAAGCATCAAATAGAAAAAAACCTCAGAATAGGTATGACTATAAATGATTATAATCATATATGATTATAAAATATAACGTTTATTTTAAAAATATTTTTTGTATAGTTGCAACTTTACACTCGACGGAGCAAGCTTTAAGCACAGAAGAAACTACTAGTGGAAAATTACAATTTTACGAAACATTAGGGGATGCAGCAGTAGCTGCACACTGTTTCGAAAAAGCCATAGAATATTACAAAAAAATGCTCACATGTGCAGAAGAAATTAAAAGCGATCGTACAGGAGCAGCTTTGTCGAGTTTAGCTCAAACTTTGAAAGACGTTGGACGGGATCACGAAGCGTTAGAATTTGCTGAAAGAGAATTAAAATTGTGCACGGATTCGCCCGAAATATGTAGATCAGCTTTATTTTTAGCAGACCTATTAATAGCTACTGAAGCAGCCGACGAGAAAATTATAGAAACTTATGATCTAGCTTTGAAAAATGCGAAAAATTGCAACAATGTTTCGTTGGAAGCAAGCGTTCTAAACGAACGTTTGAATTACTTAGAAAGATCTGATAAAACAGAAGAAGTAGAAATACTCAAAGAAAAATTAGACACACTAGAAAAATTATGTATCGATACAGACAGCGAAAGTGAATCAGAAGAAAATAATATCGGTGTAAATATTTGTTTGGAAGATTTGCCAGACGTAGAAGCAGAGTTAATGATCAGGGAAAATATCAAAAATAGGAGACGAATGAAAAAGAAATCAGTTGTTGTAAAGAGGAACGAGAAAGGTGAAACGCAGCTTCACGTGGCTTGCATTAATGGAATCGTCGAAAACGTGGAAAGATTATTAGAAGCTGGTCATTTGACGAATGTCAGAGACCATTTTGGCTGGACTCCTCTTCACGAAGCCGCTAATCATGATCACTTGGAGGTTGCAAAATTATTGTTGAAATATGGTGCAGATATAAACGATCCCGGAAGTCAGATGTGCCAAGGAGTCACGCCTCTTCATGATGCTGCTTCCTGCGGTAACATTGCCATGATGAGACTCTTAATAGAGCACGGGGCAAACGTGGCACTTAAGGCAAATGATGATGATACTGCATTAGACTGTTTAGAGCAGTGGAGAAATCGCGTCGATTTTTTATCCCCTGAGGATCAAGCGGATTACGATGAAATACACAAACTGTTGTCTAGTATGATACCAGCGAGCCAAAGAAAAAATTCAAAACGGTTTCATAAGTCACTACGTGATTCAAAGACTCGGAATATGGAGAAAAATAATCCTATGGACAAGGTTTCTGCAGGTGAGGATTACAAAAGGACTATAGCTAATCTGAAGCATAGAAGCGATTCAATTGGATCTTCTCTGTCTCGTATTGAACGTAATATAAATCCACTTTTAAATAATGAGGAGATTCTTACGGATAACTGGTTAGAAGACGATCTTAATGAGAGTGTTAACGATAAACGATATTCTGGCGAACATTCTACTTCAATGACAAAAAGGAAATCGAGCATTGGTGATATTGATGTTGATAAAAATTTGAAACGTAAAAGAATACATAATCAGGATTCTGTGGAAAAGGTGGGGGAACTTAATTTGACAGATGAGAATAGTAACAATAGTTGTGATACTGAAGTAGCACATGCCTCCAATGAATGGAGTTTTCGGAAAAAAACCCAGCAAACGTCCTTGTTGTCGATTGGATTTACCAAAAATTCTATTTCTAGAACTCCTTCACCTGCAACTCCATCTACCACAGAGTTTGAAGTTAGAGTAATCCATGCTATGAAGTCTGTTATATTAAATATTTCTGTAGACCGAAAAGTGTTCAAAACACAGGTAGAATTCTCAAATACAACGAGACCATCGATACAAGAAATTCTAGCTGATATTGAAAAGAAATTTTATAGCGACACCGGGTGCAAAGCAAAATTAGATTTAAAAACTACGAATGGTATTGCAATTAATTCTAATAACGTGTTCACGATATTAAACGAGGGAGACGTTGTTAAATACTTTCTATGCAAAATAATCGAACTAGAGACACCTTCTATTGTTGAACGATATGGAACCTAAATATTTACAGATGTTCGAGAGTGTATATTAAAGTGTTTAAAGTCATGCGAGAACACGTTTATTTTACGGCTAAAGCAGGAAGATGTTGAAAAAAGAGAACTTATATCTTTATTGAAAACTTTGGAATATCAAAAGAACGTTCAAATACTGGATTTATCTGGTGGTGAATTGCATGAAATCGAAAAAGTTCTAAGCAATTGTCTTTTAAGATTATCAAATTTGCAAGAATTATGCCTTCAAGGATGTGATATAGATTCTCAGTGTCTGAGCCAATTAGAAAAACTACCATCTCAACTTAAATTTTTAGATCTCAGCTATAATCCGCTTGGAACAATGGGTCAAGAAATATTGTGCAAACTTCTTGCTCCTTTGACACAACTTCAGACACTAAATTTGAGATACTGTCAATTGAATAATTTTAGGTTCCTCATGAACAATAATAGTCTCGTAAATTTGGATATTTCTTGGAACCAATTTATAGATGATGGACTCTTCACTACTTTACAGAGGCAATTGCTTAATTTAAATTTGTCAAATACTGTTTCTAATGGAGATTTTAATTTGGTGAAAAACATCCTAAATGAAACGAATTCTTCATTTGTGAATTTGGAATGTTTAGAACTCGCATTTTGCAAATTATCAGACGTCGATATCGAAAATATATTATCGCGTGTATCAAACCTTTCGAAAGTGGTGCTTCGGGGAAATAAAAGAGTAGGAGTAAAGTCTTTGAATTTGTTACTGAAACATACGCCAACTTTGAGACATATTGATATCAGTGGATGTGAGATTATTGCTGATTTTCCCGATTTTGATGTATTTATTGAAAATCCTGAGATTTGTACGTTAATCGTGAGTATGAATTCGGGAGTGTGTGAATGTTGGATTTGTTTATGGCGAAGAAGGGGTGTTGTGGAAAAAGTAAAGCACGAGCTTGTTATATTTAAGCCCGTTACGAAAATTACAAATTGATGCTTAATATTTTTATATGTACAATATTTTACACATGTATAGAATTAGAATAAATTATAAGTTGTAGTTAATTTTTATATACATCGACTTAATTAACATTTGATATTTTTAAATTTTTATATGCGATAAGTTTAGCATTGACTGCAATTTACAATGGTTTATAAAATGCTGTATTTTTATATCAATAACGTTATAGAATTGTAAATTTATATTTCCTAGAATAAAATATTTTTGAATGGTTAAATTGTTTTTATATGTATTATTTAAACCTCAAGCGTTACGTGAAATTTAATCAAATTTTGAATTTACCGGAAGTTGTTTTTTTGCACTTCCGGGTATCGATGTGAATGAGATAGCATTTAATGTTTCAATTCAATGTATGTGCGTATGTAATCAGATTTTGATTGTTTACAATAACCTTTTTTTCAATTACTGTTTGGTAAAACTACAAAAATGATAAAAGAATAAGTTTAATTAAATAAAGTCTATATTTTAAAAACATGCTTAACACATTTTGAAACATATAACACTAACAATTTATATTTTAAATATTTTTAACGTACGATTACTTTAACTTTTAATGACGAATACTGTCATACTGGCACTGTGCAATAATGTGAGTGATTGTTTATGACAAATGCAAAAATTATAAATTAATCGAATATTTACAAATTTGTTTTAACACGTCATAACCATTCCTTTCAGAAGTTGGTTCAATAAAGAGTACAAACTAAATGATTTTTATTAAATATTGACAAAATGTTTGTATACTTGAGTAAAAAAATAGCAATACCAAATAATTTTCGACTCAATTGCATAGCATGGAATCAGAAGGAAGGTTATATAGCAGTTGGTGGAGAGGATGGTCTTCTCAAAGTACTCAGAGTAGATTCCAGTGTAAGTGGATCTATCAGTGGTGGAAAGTCAAGAAACTTGACTGCTGCCAGTAATTTAAGCATGAACCAGACTTTAGAAGGCCATAATGGTCACGTACAAGTAATCACATGGAATGAGCAACATCAAAAACTGACCTCAAGTGATCAAAATGGTGTGATTATAGTTTGGATGTTGTATAAGGGTTCTTGGTACGATGAAATGATAAACAATTGCAATAAGTCAGTGGTTAAAGGGATGGCATGGAGTTTGGATGGTCTAAAAATTTGCATTGTGTATGAAGATGGAGCAGTAATTGTAGGTTCAGTCGATGGCAATAGAATCTGGGGAAAAGAACTGAAAAATGTAGCTCTTGCTGCTGTGCAATGGTCCCCAGATGGAAAACTACTATTATTTGGCATAAAAAATGGAGAAGTACACCTTTATGATAATCAAGGTGTATTTTTAACAAAATTAAACATGATACCGATTAATGGTAGTCAGATACAAACAATAGTCTCATTGCAATGGTATGATGGAAGAAATGGGTATATTGGCTTAGACTGTCCCACCTTGGCTGTTTGCTACAGAAATGGCAAAATACAGCTAATGAAGGATACCAATGATGATAATCCAATAGTAATAGAAACTGGTATGACAACAGCATGGTGTTGTTGGAACAGTTGTGGATCTATATTAGCTGTGACAGGGTTAATACCATTGCTAGGTAATGGTGAAACAAAGGATACCAATGTCGTTCAATTTTACAGTCCATTTGGTAAACATTTGAGGACTCTAAAAGTACCTGGCAGAGAAGTTACATGTTGTGCATGGGAAGGAGGCTCTCTCAGAGTGGCTTTGTCAGTTGATTCGCACATTTATTTTGCAAACATACGTCTAGACTACAAGTGGACTTATTTCAGTAATACTGTTGTCTATACGAATGAAAAGATCAGTAAAGATGGCATTTGTATTATGTTTTGGAACACCACTAATAATACATGCTGCACTAAGTATGTGAGAGCATTGATTTCCATAGCTTCACACGGAGACCACTGTGTTTTGGCAGTGAAAAATGATCTTACTCAAGGATCAGAGCAATATGCTCTTCTAGTGTGTAACACAATAGCCTCTCCAATAGACACGAAGTTCACAAATTTAGAGCCACTATGGGTAACCATGAACAATAATGTTGTCATCACAGCCTCCAAAAACAATTTTTTAGTATGGAGCTATCGCACACCTCGTAATTCTATGTTACATGCAGGCCGGCTTAGAAGGGATAAGATTTACCACATTGACGAAACTCCAACTGGAGTGACGGAAGTTATTCAAGATTTGGACAAAGATAGATCGTTTGAAACACCTATTAATACTAAAGTTACTATGGACCCAATTTGTTGCTTGTGTGCAACTGATAAGGTTCTGTTAATAGGTAGAGAATCAGGGATGATTCAAAGGTACTCCTTGTCTCAGATCACTCTTACAAACAGATACAACACAGGTTGTAAGCTTTACAAAATAGCAATTAATTGTGATTCATCTCGAGCGTCTATTATGGACACAAGCGGCATGTTGACTATGTTGGACTTAGAGACTGACTCAAAAAAGAATGTTTCGAAGGATGTAGAATCTGAGGATGAAATAAACAAGTTTGAAAGAAAGGATGTGTGGGCCATGTGCTGGGCACAAGATAATCCAGTTCTGTTAGCAATCATAGAGAAGACAAGGATGTATGTTCTGAGGGAATTTGATCCTGAAGAACCAATATCTTGCTCTGGATATATCTGTTCATTCCAAGATTTAGAAATACGTTGCGTTTTGCTGGATGATCTCATGCAAAAGCCAGAGGATACAAAGAATGAATTAATAGTAGATTTAGAAGTGAAATCTTTGAGAGACACCAGAGAATTATTAATGAAAGTAGGATTGAAAGAAGCCAACAATTTTATACAAGATAATCCACATCCAAGACTATGGCGTTTATTAACAGAATCAGCTTTGCAGAAGTTGGATTTGGAGACTGCAGAGAACGCAATGGTGCGTTGCACAGATTATTTAGGCATACAATTCATCAAACGTCTGCAAAATGTACACAACGATCAGCTCAAGAAAGCAGAAGTAGCTGCATTTCTTGGAAACTATGATGAAGCAGAAAAATTGTATTTAGACATGGATAGAAGAGATCTGGCTATTACATTGCGTCAGAAGTTAGGAGATTATTTTAGAGTGGTACAACTGATGAAAATGGGTATAGGAGGATCTGACAAGCAAATGGAGTATGCTTATAACAAGATTGGTGAATACTATGCTGAGAGACAGAACTGGGAAGGTGCAAAGGAGTACTATGAAAAGAGCAGGAATCTGGAGAAGCTCATAGAATGTTATTACAAACTAGAAGACTTTATTCAATTAGCAGGAACAGTACAACAGCTACCAGATAAAAGTCCTCTCTTAAAAACAGTAGCAAGAATGTTAGCTTCTGTAGGAATGTGTTCCCAGGCAGTGGCAGCTTATATAAAATATGGAGATGTGAAATCAGCTGTGGATACCTGTGTTCGTTTGAACCACTGGGACCAAGCAGTTGAATTAGCAAAGACCTACAAGATGGCTCAGATAGGAGAACTATTAAATAAATATGCTAATCACCTTCTATCTAATGGCAAGAGATTACAAGCCATAGAGTTATATAAAAAAGCAAATTACAATTTGGAGGCAGCAAAACTGTTATTCCAGTTAGCAGAGGAACAAGCAAGGACAAGAACAAATCCATTGCGTGTGAAGAAGATCTATGTTCTAGCAGCTCTGTTGATAGAAGATCACATCAATAGCACTCCAGCTACTAAAGGAGGTCGTAGCAATATTGTGATGGGTTTAACAGAGAACAGTGAAGACACCCGTGTGATAGAAAATGCCTGGAAGGGTGCTGAAGCATACCACTTCCTTTTATTGGCTAATAGACAGATATACTCAGGGAACTTTGATGCAGCTATGAAAACAGCTTTAAGACTCAGAGAATATGAGGACATTCTGCAGCCTGAAGATATTTACTGCTTGCTTGCTCTATCTAGTGCAGTTAATCATGCTTTTGCTGTATGTTCTAAAGCGTTTGGCAAATTGGAGTCTCTAGAGACCATCTCAGAGGCAGTAAGAGAGGAATATGAGGATTTAGCTGTGGATATATTTACCAAACATATTCCAGAAGATGTTCGTAATTCCAAAGCAGAATGCACCAATTGCGAGAGCCTGGTGCCCGACTGGTGCGTCGCCTGTCCTAATTGTATGACCAGATTCCCTCCTTGTATCATCACTGGAAAACCGTTGATGGACTTAAGCAATGCGTGGATCTGCACCGTTTGCAGACACCATGTTGCCACGGAACGCGACGTGGTTAATATTAACGCTTGTCCCTTGTGTCACGGCACGGTTACGTATATGTAGTTTAAGCGTGTGAGTATGCTTCACAGAGCATGCATTACCGGACAAATATTTGATAGTTGCGCTTCGACGAACCTGCTTCTGGCAAACTTAAAGCTTGCCAGTGAAAGAGCATGTTGTTACGCTTTTCTGGTTATGTATATTGCTTAAAATGTGCGGATTTTTGTTAGGATTTGTGCAAAATGCAATTAATAAATTCATACATGCAATGTATGTATGTGTCGGGGATTATGAAAATGGCCTAAGTGAAAAGAGTGGAAAAAATGCTTTAAAAAAATATGTAAGAGTTCATTCATTTAATTGTGGTAAATAAATATTTTTTGACATGTAAAAATATTAAAATCAAAATATTTAAACGTAAAAAATGTATGACTCATGCCATTTTCATAATTATAGGCATATTTATGTTTCACTTACAATTAGTATATTAGGTGCATATAAGCTTGCGGGAATTGTTGCAATTAAAAAATTTGATCTCATTTATAAGTCGGCAATCGTCTATACTTTCTCGCTCAGTATTTTATTGCTCTTTTCAACTTAATCTATCGCAATTTCTTTGTTCTAAGTATTTTTTATTACACGCACTAAAAAATATGTGGTTCCTAGTTTATAACGAACACTAAATTCCGTCCAAAATAAATGAAGTATTAATACCGTCAAATATTACAAAGATACTATTTATTAATCTTTATATTACTGCTGATTGTTTTTATCAAATATATTTGCAATTATTTTACATATCTGTGTATTAATTTTTTTTCCAATTCACATGGTATAATTTAAACGATAAACACTCTCTTGCGCACGTCGACTGATTTGGCGCGTAATTAAAGCGCTACTCAAATTCAAATAGCTTCTACTAGCCAGACGCCTTTCAAATTCCGCGCATGCGTGTCGTACTACCGGCACGCGTTCCTTCCACGAGTCAGTTAGTAGTACTGACTCAGTACGTCCCGAACCAGCGTAGAGGAGGTGCTGCATCGTGTCGCCACCCCACATTCTCTCTGTCACGAATATCCTCGGTGTTTCTTTTGAATTTTACCTCCTCTCTTTGTGAACGCCAATCGTAGCGCTGGTCGTTTCGGATTGTCAAACGTGCTTGCCAGGCCCAGTCGCGATCCCGAGGTTACTTTCCTGCGAATGTACAGCCGTAAGTGCCGCGTCCCGCGTATTTGCCGCGTCTGTTCGTGAGTGTATCGCGAGTGCTTACCATCGGAAGGAATTATGAGTGGTATCCTGTCAATGTTATGTGTCGTCCTGATCCTTAGCGTCGCGACCACCACGGTGCACGCTGGATTGAAATGCGACGCTGTCAGGCCTTACTTCGAGTCACAGGGCTTTCCGGCCAGTGACATTCCCAAGGAGGCAATATCATGTAAGTGTTTGCTCAACTTCTTTATAGTGTGAGCTTCAATTTAAAGCTTATTACGTCGTAAGTAATTATCGTGCATTCGAACATACAAAATACATAGAGAAATATATAATAGAATACAGCTACCCTTGTGTTAGAAAGTTACCAATATACTTGTAACATGGCGCGAATTTTAAAGAATTTGAATTTGTGACGTATTTTACAGTCTCGTAACGGTAATGTCAGATTATCCTTGGCTGTCATTGGAGGATACAAAAAATTGGTCGAAGTTAACATAATTTTGATTTAATCCATTTATTTTGAACGAAGTTATATTTAAATTTTGGAGACTTTTTAAATTTAATTCGTCAGAAAAAGTTTTTTTAATTGAAAATTTTGTTTGTAACGCGATCGTTTGCTCGAAAGTTTTTCAAAGGGCGGAGTGTATCGGCGGGGGGAAATAAGCGCGGCCAAAATTGAAGCTCAAAATTAGAGTGGCCGCGGTCATAATTCACGGCCATTCATGATTTATCCGGCGAAATTTCGTTGAAGTGATTCGCAAAGGAACACGTTCAACGAAATATTTATGGCCGATGAATTATGGGCTGTGTTTCCTCGTGGTGGGGCTGCACGCGGGAGAAAAAACGGGCAAAAGAAAAATTCCGGGAAGTTCTCACGTCTCGAAACACGATGCACGAACGTGCTCGAGTTGGCTGCGTATACGTGTGTATATGTATATAACATGCGTGTGTGTCGTATCGAAACTAATAAATAAAATAAGCACCTCGGGTCTCAGTGCACTTCAACTATTTTAAACATTCCACTGTTTGTTTATGCTTTAACATTTTCGTTGTCGAACATATTTGTTTTTCATGTGAAAGTAAATTTAATTAAGGAAGATAATTCAATACTTTGTGGATGAATTATAAATTATGATATGGTTAGCCATCTAGAGGATATGTAGGGTAAATGTTAAGATTAAAAATACAAACTACCGTGTGACCCGTAGGTAAAGTGTTACGAGTTTTATAGAAATGTTACTGACTAGGATAGTGGATAAGGTTGTTCATAAGTGTTGGTATACACGAATATAGTGGGATACCTTGGTTTATCAACCGGGTACATACATATTTCGTAGGAGCACAAAGAACCTGTCTGACTTTATCGGCCGATGCAATCAAATACGTCCAGCTTCAAAAGTATATTTACTCGTGCCGAATAGATAGTAAAGAATCATGCGTGCCGTTAATACGATCACATGATCGACATTCTTTGAAACGAATGGTAAAATCGACGCCTGAATGGCGTTCTGTAATCCCCTGGGTTAATGCACCCATTAAAAGCACTGCGATGTTTAACCTTCTTTTTCAAACGTTGCCCCTTTGATTGATTCCGAACATTTTTTTTGTAGAACAAGAACCTTATTGCAACACAATTATGATTCGATAAACAGAAATGTAGTCATTGAATTTTATTTAACACTTTACAGTTACAGAGCTGCCCCCTTAAACACTTATTGACTCTGTCGATAAAAGGGTACATTCCATGTAGTTTATTTCCAAACCTCCGATAGAACAGAGCATATTTCAATATTTTTACATAAAGAATAAAATTCACTGAAAATCCTTCATAGTGGATATCTTCAATTGAAAATAAAAAAGTACTCCTTCTGTCGTACATGGATTTTTCAATCTGTACGCTCTGAACGACTAGACACGCTTAATCGCGCTGCTGTCTCGCCATCTCTGGGCAGTTTTATTTCCGTTATTGTTTTTTCCCGCGCGTATAAACACGGCCGCGTTTATCGGTGAGATGAAAGGAGAACCGTGTGGGTTTCGCGAGGCTGATAAAGAGCCGTGTAAGAGCAAAGGGTTATACGAGGGAAAAAAGAATAACGTCGAGGCGTTCCGTTTCGCGTTTTATCGCGACGACCGCGTCCAACGTGCACGTGAACGCGGTTGCGCATGCGCGTCATGGTAATACGTGAGTTTTGACGCGATGTACTTTCCGTGGGGAATAATTATGGTTGAACAATGTTAATGGAGCTCGTTAATTCGATTTTTCTTCGACATTTGTAACCAGAAGCAATAGTGCTACAAGGGAATATTTACTGTGTTTCGTGAATTTGTTTTTTATGGATCTTTAAGCTCATAATAAGTTATTGGACGCGAATATGTATTCCCTATTTAAATTGCCGGGAATTTAAAATGGAATTTAGGTTATGTGATCGACGACTGAAAGTATCAATAATATATAACGACAATGGTTTTAAAATTTATTTTAAATACATGTATTTAAGGATTCTTCAAGTAATCATTTAGATAAAATGTTCAGGTTATGTTCCACATTGTTCGTTTTTTGCCGGATGTGTTTTCTCCATATAAGTCTCCCATCTAAATGTATTTCAAGCCTGTTTGACAGAATCTGCTTGCCGTAGTGTAGTATCGTTTATTATCACATTATTCCCATTACTGGAATAAGAAGTCTCTTCAAACAGAAATTACAAATATAAAATTATAAATATACGATGTATTTCATATTTAACGTAGACATCAAAGTACAATGAAAAATGAACAATCCCTCGACAACTAAACAAATGTGTTCTAAATATTGGCTAACTAATGACAAGTTAACTCGTCTTCCCCAGTTAACAGGTGAATATTATTCAGCCAATTTCCTCTGACTGTATTTTATCACTGACAGTATTACCAACCCCCTGCTGTCATAAAGTCCATCACGTTACTCTATCGAAACTACTCGAGGACCTGTTCGAGACGTTCCACAGGAAGTTGGAGCCTCTCCAAACGATGGACGTGGCCTAACCTGTCACTGGCATACTCCCTGATGTAGGATGTAGGATACTAATCGACCGTCTTCACCCTGCTTTTCGTTACCCTTGACGAGGCAATGTTCCCAGACGTCGTCAATTGGCCCCGACTCTGAAACTGATATGAATCAATCAGCACTTCCACTTAATCTGTCCCTCGAAATTTCTCCATAGCGTTAAACGCGATCGTAAAAAACCGTGTTTAACAAGTAGTTAATAAGTGGACTGAGGGGAATGGTGGGCCATCCGGGGGCCATTACAGGGTCGAGCCGGAGTTTTTACTTTTACGATCTTCCGCTTTATCTCTCCTTTTACTCCGTGTGTCGTCTACCTGATGCAATACTCCAGCTGCGTTTGGGTATCTGCTACCTGGGATTCCAGGCTCATTATCGCGCACAGAAGGTGCCATTTTCGGTTTTACGACGACCGAAGCCTCCGTTTCCGTCTCTTGAAATCTTAGACCAAGTCTCTGAGGGGGCGAATTTCTATGCATTTTTTTTTTTCTTTTAAATATAATTAACTACTAACTTAGCATTATACAATTGAAGGGTATAGGGGAAAAACGACGAGTGCCCGTTTAATTTTCTTTTCAATAAAATGAACTTTAAACGTCGAAAAATTATTGAAGCTACTAACTTAACTAAATTGACATATGTTTGTACATACCTGGGAAAATAAGCGAAAGTCCGTTGAAATTGGCAAAATACATATCGTACAATGAATTCTGCGATATAAACTGTGTTCGTATTCGAATGGATCCTCGTCCTTTTATCCCTGTACTCTTTAATTTAATAATGCCGAGTTATGGGAAGGTGGTAATACTAG